CGGTTGATTAATTAACTAAGCTTTGCTACAACGTAAGCAATCCCAACTATCACTAAACAAACTAAAACTACAATGCGCTTCAAGAACATAATTATTTTGTGATCGTACGCAACTAAAAAATGACAAATCATTCTTACGTGAATATCAATAAGCTTCTCCTGCTTTGGCTCATCGCCTCATCGGCAATGACCGCTACCTCAAGCGCACCCAAATTCTGCACGTATGTAGCATAATCTTCCTCCCAAGTACCAACCATCGCATCCATTGCCCTCCCACTTAAAATTAAAGCCAAAAAATATTTAGTCAAAATATTCAAGAAAAGCGAGTCAATTAGCCATAATTATAAAATGCGTAAGAAACTCACATCGCGATCCGGCACTTGTAGAAAACACGACCCTTGTTGGGTCCCCTGTCTCTTGACTCGGTACTCCATCACAATCTTCTCGCTTACACTTGCCGCAGATAATGAGAGGGAGTTCGGCCTCGATCGTTCGCAACCGAACGAGAGGCGAGGATCCAATAACGATTGTCATCTACTTTCTATACTTATTTTGCAAACTAGTGTAAATTTCATATTTTCAAATATCCATCAAATTATAGCTCAAAAACATGTTTCAATAAATAACCATCCGTACTAGTTGACCTTGCTTACGTGATCATCTCGTGCGAGCATTTCTCCACCGGACGGCACACCGTGCTTGGCCAAGGAAGAGCTCCGATTCTATGAGAAAGGGAACACGGTCTTCCACGACCGTTGCCGCTCTCCCTCGTGAGAATCAAAGCTCCTCCTTGACGTCCGTTACACTTCGGCAGAAGAACATGCTTGCCGAAATGAACACGGTCCACAAGTTCAACTAGTACGGATTTTCTACAATTTTCTAACAATTTTCTAAGTTTTTCATTTCATGGAAAAATTAATTCTAAGATCACGTAAGCCACCGGGGGCGAGAATGGCGCGTGCTCCAGCGAATGAGGACGAGCGAGGCGTGATTTTGATGAACTAATTTAACTTTTGTTTATCCAAACATATATGCAAATCATCATGTGATTTTGAGCTAAAAATGACATATAAAATCATAATAAAATCCAACATATAAAGTTACACATGCATCTACATCGCAAAATGAGATAAGCTACTGATAAAACATAAGAGGATTAAGTTTGTTACCTCCAAAATCGAAGAGCAACACCAATGGAGGGGGAGAGTGCAAGAACAACAGCAAGCTGAAGAACAGAGGCAGTGAGTTTGAATAATGGAATGGCTCGGGCTCGGGGAGGAAGAATTGAGTAGAATTATAGGCCGGGATAATTAGTCCCGGTTAGGGGTCCAAACCGGGACTAAAGATTAATCTTTATTCCCGGGGCATAACCCAAACCGGGACTAAAAGCTTTAGTCTCGGCTGGTATTACTAACCGGGACTAAAGGTAAACCTTTAGTCAGTCCCGGTTAGTAATACCAACCGGGACTAAAGATCCCTGCCCCTCGGACGACCGTTGGGCAGGGACCTTTAGTCCCGGGGCAAAAAAATGCCGAGGCTAATGCTAAATTGGGACATCGTTCTAAAGTCTGTTCTCTAGTAGTGTTTGTCTGCAGCGGTGGTGCTTTCTCGGCCTATGCTGCCATCTCAGCTGTCGCTGCATCATGGGGCAAAAGCTTGAGATCTTGTGGAAGCTCCACTGGGAATCCCTCCCTTGCCAGGTCGTTGACATCCTCCTTGTTGGTGACTAAAATTTCTTCTAATTCTTGGATGACAGTTGGGGGAGAGTCCACAAAACACCCATGGATCAGTAGATCAGCCTGTCATGAGACCTGGATCTATGGTTGGCTTGGGTGGATCAGGATTTTGGCTTTCGATTCCATGGTTGGGGGCAGAAGCGGCTGCGGGGTGGGGGTGTTGTGGGGAGCAGAGGCACCCAGGTCAGGGTCGTCCATGGGGGATGTATGGTGATGTATATCGTGAGAATTAATCTTTAGCAATTTGTGAACCTTGATGAAACAACCTAATTTTGAGATATCTTAAAACATTTTAAGGTGGACATATATTATAATGTTCTATTATTAATCATTTGAAGATCTGCTTAGTTGTATTGCGATACACGAAAAGGAAAAGTTTTCTCTTTGAACAATAGGGATGCAATTACATATAGAGTAGAGCTGCTTTGTTCAGCCACTATACCAGAAAACAAAATTTTCATGAGTGTGGAGAAAATATAACAGAATATATAAATACTGTCACAAAAGTGATGCATTGGTGGTGAAGCGTCATGCAATAACCACAAAAAACTAGATGCCAGGGAATTACACTTTCATGACGATTGACTTCCACGAATTTTTATGACAGCCACACACCTCTACGAAAATTAAGGCATCACCATATTTGTGGAACATATTCATGGCAGCATCACTGTCATAAAAGCAATTTATGAGAGTTAAAAAACTGCCTTGAAAATGTATTTGTACTGCCATGAAAATATTTTTTCATGCGAGCAAACAGTCACAAAAATTCATCTATACAACAAGAAACACTTAATTTTCATGTGAATAGAAGATTGCCAAGAAAAAGCATCTCACGTTGCAAACCAAATCACAAATATGAATCACAGCCACCACGGTGAAACTCACCAACAATTTTAGGCCACCACCATGAAACTCTGCAGCAATTTGCATTGTGCTAGACAATTCCAGCAATAGCTGAGTGGCGTAGTGATAGGCGAAGTTAATCTCACCCAAGCAAAGATGAGGTGATTGTACCCAAACAAACCAGTCAACCAAATAACAAGACATACCTAGTGCACGCTTAGCTTATACAAGGAAACCAAACAATTTTGGTATAAAGTTTGTCTTTGTTTGACTTCATATAAAAATATTATAAACTTTTTTGGGACAACTATTTCTAGAGTCGGTCTCTTCAGTGTGCAGTCTCCGTAATCGATTAACAGAGGAAGACATCTTTGAAGGCAACTGTCTTTATAAATAGTCAATTAATAGACTCGGTTTCCTTAGGATGCCTACCTTTGTTAATCATTAACAGATTGAGGTGGGTGTTTGCCAGAGGCCGCCTAACCATTTATAGAGGCAGCTCCTAAAAATACTTGTTTTTTTATTAATTAGGGGACTAGTCTCCTAAAATTATTTTTGTAGTAGTGGATGTCTCCAAGCTTCCATGTGGATGAGGAAGAGGATTCCAGGACCACCTTCATGTCTCTAGCAAGCGGTACTTCATTGGTGTTGCGCTCATCCTTTCTCGTAGATCTTGCACTCCCGAACATGCCATTGTCATGTACTCATGTTGCTTGCTCGCCGGTGTCTGGGCAGTAGATTCCTCCTCCCCTCCTCATTATGTTAGAACCTTTCACTGAACACCAACTAAAGATAGAAGATGTACAAAGAACCAGTTGGCAGTCTGATAAGGAGGAAAAGGAAAGCCGATCGAGATGATTTAATTTGGCAGCTTTTGCAACAATTACTATGTTGTAATGTTAGTACAACTGGTTTACTTAATGGAATTTCAGTTATCCCAATCTTTCTAAAGAAGATGTTAAAGATAGAATTTGGAAAACAAGATATTTGAAAGAACCAAAATATCGTGTTTTCCAAATTTAGCAATTTGTCCGTGCTTGTAGAATTTGCCTGATTGCCTGAATACAAGGTCCAATTATATGTTCATATGTTGGATGTGCACATTATTGAAAACTGACAACCAATTACTTTGTAACATTATTTCATCTTTCAGTTTATTCATTAGTAGTTCCCTGTTATCACCCTGGAAACTGAATTACAAATGAGTCACAACCACACAAGCCAACTAGTAAATTACGGAGTCACTAAGAAATATCAATCGAGGGCAACCCCATTGGATCGGAGGTTTTGGTTGTCTATCGCATCTAGACAGCTCTGCTTGTTATGGTCCATACATAGGACACCACACAAGACAACTGTTTCTCCCTCCTGGGGCAATGCTACGGTACACCCATTAGCTAGAAGGAGGTAATATCTCAAATAAATCTAAGTTATTGATTTTTTATTTATAAATAAATTAATTAAATAAATAATCTCAGGAAAAGATAAAAAATACCACCCGATTCCTAATAACCAGAGAGATAGAAGCGCAAGTGATCTCCTTTCTTTCTTCGTGCGTGAGGGGCAGGGATGTGCGATCCCGGCGGCGCATGGCCGGCACGGAAACCAATTTCTCCAATCACGTGACAAAACAGAAACACGGACGTACATGCTAACATGTTGTGCACGACACGACAACACAATCATGTACAAAATCACATTACGTACAAATCAAGTGTATGTCATGTGCACATTTACACGATAATCAGAATATATCAAGTCTAAAGTTGCAAAATAAAAAAAAAATTATCATATCTGCTATATCACACATGCATCAATCAAATCTAGAAAGTTTTTTACCTTAAACTTTCCTTATTTATCCTATTTTACAAACTAAGAAATTAAATAAATATGTATTACACATATTACTTCCTCTGAGGTAATAAGCGATCGTAATCGTCCTGCTGATAAAAATGCGGCTCACGGTCATTTGGGTATACCACAACAAACCTCTTCTCTCTGGCTAGCTCTTCTCATGCACTGTGATCCATCACGGTACACTTGCCAACATTGCAGAAACATCTAGCAAGACATATACCAGTGGAAAATCATCAAACAATAAGCCTGCATGGTATGCTATTTCCTAGTGACTCTGTTACGTGGGTGGAGGATTGAGAGGGAGAGGCGAGGGGAGCGACGGCGGCTGACGAGCTACCGTGCCCGCGGTGCTACAGTGCCCGCGGTACACTAAAACAAGCCTTTTATATCTTGGCTTATTTTATTATTCTCAACCTGAAATAGACTGGGACTCTTTATTTTTGACTCCTGAACATAAGGTGGACACCATCCGCCTCCTGGATCCCATGGACACCATCTAGACGAAATGGGTGCATGTGTATGGCCACCTAGAAGTGGTCGCAACAACGACCATGCGACGGCGCTACACGGTGCGCTCTTGCTGGTGACCCCACACCTTCTCCCCGCCAGACAGCTGCTGGTCTGCACCGCCTGAAGAAGAAGCGCGGAGGGCTTCCGATGGAGAACGAGGTGGAGGATGCGCCTCCAATCGCTACCTTTGCCGCGGAAAATAGCATGCCCGCTGGCCGTGGGGGAAACCGCATGCCTGAGATCCCCGACGCAGCGGACGAGATTGAGGTCCTCCGCGCAGCTAAGCGCAACTAGCGGCGGGTCCTGTGCGGAGGCCGAGGGCGCCGCGCCCGTGCTGTCCAGCGAGGACGACACGCCGGAGAGCGTCGGCATCAGGCTGCCGCCGTGGAACAGGGGGCCGTCCACCCCGCCGTAGAGGACGCCCGGAGCCGGGGCGCCGCCATGCGCCATGACAGCCCCGGTGGTCGGGAGCGGCGGTAAGTGCGGCTGGGTACTGGGCGCCGTGTAGATGGGTTTCGACAAACCGGCGATCCAAGCCGGAAGCGGCGGCGGCGGCAGTTGCTGCTGCGTGGGCGGCGGTGGTGGGATCGGCTGTGGTCCTTGCGGTCCCAAAAGGAACGCATGAATCCCGGCCACCATCTTGCCGAGGTCGAGCACCGTTGCCGTCAATTCGGCGTTCGACATGACGCCAATGGCGGAGGGAGACGCCCCCGTGGCCAACGTCGACATCGGAACCGAGATCTCTGATACCAGATTGTTATGTGGGTGGAGGATTGAGAGGGAGAGGCGAGGGGAGCGACGGCGGCTGACGCGCTATAGTACCCGTGGCGCTACAGTACCCGCGGGTACTGTTCGCGGCTAGGGCTGCGAGGGTGAGAGAGAGCCGGCCGCGGGGCGTTTGCCCATGGCCGGGCAAGAGGGAAGAGTTTCCTTCTTAATTCTTGCTTAATTAGATTGATACATCTCCTCTTCTTATATAGAGAGGTTTACTTGACTTACAAACAATGCTTACTTGACCCTTAAGTAAGCGATCCTTATCTCTAATTAACCCTAACACTAATTCAGGCCCAATAGGCCCCTGACGTACTTTAACAGACTCCCATACCTATACGTAAGACAAGTTTTCTTTGTCTATTCTCCCCTCCTGCTACACAAACTTTTCTCTGTCACCACCGTTGTGCGTTGCTCCATGCATGGCTGGCTAACATAAAGGAAGCTAGCGGGAATGTTATCTGAAGTTTAGTAGGTGGCAAGATGATGTGAGTGCAATACTATACTAGTACACTGCATTTAGTTATGTTCATACATGCTACCTACTTCTAAAATGGGTGTTTCTATGGTACACCAAAATAGCCGTGCACCGTCCATTTAGCTTCATATAGATGGATATGGTGACTTATTATACCTCCTAAGAGGTAATAGATCGAATAAATATTGAAATAAACATTTTCCTTTGAGATCCATATAATGCATTCGTGTAGCATGGTCAAGTGGCAACATGACCATGCTCGTACAAACCGTGATACTGCTCTTGCCTCTTTTTAACTATTGTGTTCGTAATGTACATCGTGAGCTTGCGTCCATATGCGTAAACTTGTCTCAGCATATGCGTATGATTATGTGTTAACTGGAGTACATAAGTACCTCCCAAGAGTGACTTTTTCCTTCATAATGACCAAGACCAGACAAGAGTTATGAACTTATGATCATCCACAAATAATAAAGGTTGAAATGATGCAAGCCTCTTTGCATTGCCATGACACATGAAGGTCCTGTGTCCTGTACAAGAACCCACGTTCTAGTGAAATTTGACATGGCTCATATAGCGTAACATGTTCTTAATGTATTAGCATTCCACGTGCCCACGTCTCTAACGTCTTAGACCGACATGGATGCAGCTTGTTTGGAAACGTATGGTCGTCCTGTGACTTTAATTAGGAGTGCATACTCTAATATCAACCCGCAGCAACCAGTGAATAGGCTTTTCTTAACTTTGCAATTATTTTTCTTTTTATAAGAACAAGGGCCTAGATGTGTTAGCCTTCTTTCCTTCTAGGAGGTAAGAGGTGTACCATAGCAGAGCTCTCTAAAATATATTTCTCCTAGCAAAATACTTGCAACACTTTGAGAGCAAATATGCATGATACCATATTCCACCACAACAATGGCAAACCAGAATAACCAGATTCTTATTCTTTTGTTCCAAGTCCTGGTGTTCGTCATAGATACAATTGATCTTGAAGAAAACTGCAAGACACTAATGAGACATGCAAGTATGACAGATAGAGGTTTCAAAACCATGGAGCAAAAATGGCACTTAAGTTGTTACTCATCAGTTCTTCACAATCATTCACTACTGGAAACCGGCACTTTGCCGAGTGCCGGAAGCTTTGCCGAGTGTATTTTATCGGGCACTCGGCAAAGACGGCTTTGCCGAGTGTTTTTTTCGGCACTCGGCAAAGATGTATTTTGCCGAGTGCCATTTTTCGGCACTCGGCAAAATGCGTCTTTGCCGAGTGCCTTTTTTCTGGCACTCGGCAAAGATATATTTTGCCGAGTGCCATTTTTTGGCACTCGGCAAAATGCGTCTTTGCCGAGGCATTTTGCCGTGTGCATTTTTTTTGCCCTCGGCAAATCATTTTTTGAAAGCAATTTTTGAGGCCCTAAATGAATTTAAATGAAAAACTTTTCAACTACAAAATTGTATAACTTCTCAAGATCTACAAAGTTTATTTTGGTCATTTCTTCATTTGACAAAGCGACAATAACGTTGTTCATAAAATCTACATCTCTCTCATCTCTCATATTAGTTTCATGAAAGTCGAAGAGAGATATATAAGATTTGTGAATAATGTTACTACCACTATGTCGGATGACCAAATGACCAAAATAAACTTTGTAGATCTTGAGATGTTATGAAATTTTGTAGTTGGCAACATTTTGATTTGAAATCATCTTGTCATGCAAAAATGATGTTTCAATTTGAAAATTTTAAAATTTGAATTTTTCAAAAGACCTCGGATGGAAAAACTTCCTAAATGAAAATTGTAGATCTCCAAAAGTTATGAAACTATGTAGTTGACAACTTTTTGATTGGAAATCATCTTATCATGCAAAACTACGTTTGAATCTCTCAAATTTGAAATTCGAATTTTTCAAACGACCTCGGATGGAAAAACTTCCTAAATGAAAATTGTAGATCTCCAAGAGTTATGAAACTATGTAGTTGGCAACTTTTTGATTTTAAATCATCTTATCATGCAAAACTACGTTTGAATCTCTCAAATTTGAAATTCAAATTTTTCAAACGACCTCGGATGGAAAAACTTCCTAAATGAAAATTGTAGATATCGAAAAGTTATGAAACTTTGTAGTTGACCACTTTTTAATTTGAATTCGTTTAGGGCCTCAAACAAACAATTTACTCTCGATTTACGCTGCAGACATACGAGGGAGAGGTCGTAAGTTCGAATCCCGCCGACCGCATTAGCTGCGAATTTTGCTCAAAAAATACAGCGACTTTAATGGCCGGTGGCGCTGGACGGACGGGCGCTAGCCGATGGCGTCCTTCCCTGAAAAAAAAAATTTGCTATTATTTTTGGGTTTTTTTCGCATTTTCATTTTGCCGAGTGCTTTTTCGGCACTCGGCAAAGGCTACGCCGAGTGCCTGACAAAAAGCACTCGGCAAAGGCTTCTTTGCCGAATGCCCTTTGCTAAGTGCGGCACTCGGTAAAGCCTTTGCCGAGTGCGGCAAAGTGCGAGTTTCCAGTAGTGATTAAATGTCCAAGATACTAATGCCGAGTAATGATCCTTGCGGCTACGCACATGCATGTGTGAGCTTAAGAGAACTAGAGCTGAAACATATGCAAAACACTAGACTGGTCAGGCCACAATTATTCTTTTGATGCCTGTATATAGGCAACAGACCACAACATTTATGTGTATTATGTTTTTGTAGACAGACGCTCTGAAGTTAACTGACCCTGCTAACAGGGAGTGAGAAATAAGGGTGTCTTGGTAGGCCATTACTGACCCTGACAGGGAGCCAGAAACAGTATGTGACTACTTTCCTCTGCCCATCAAGCAGCATCCTAGCCTATTTCCTTGTGGACTGATCATAAGCCTTCCCTCACCTCCTAGAGTTAGATTCACTTTTGCACTGCTCAGCCATCACAGTGTAGACATCAATTTTTAGGCTCTACAGTGATGAATAAAGAATCACTTTGAGTTTGCTCGTCTGCGTGCGATGCCGGATGCTCCAACCATCTGCCGCCTCATCTAATATTTTTAATTCCCCAATAACTGAACCATCTTTGAAGTCCAATTTCAGATTCAGACACCACGGTTCGCTTGGTGTAGTGTGCATGGTTTGATTTTAGCTGCCGACGGTTTGTTTTTGCTCTACACAGGAGCTGCCCTAATAGCATAAGAACTTGTAGCGATACCATATTTCCTTCCACCTTCCATTCCAATATGAGAATAACTATTATTTGCTCCTGACGCATCTCACTGCTCTTTTTCCTCCATTTTGTGCTGTTCTTACTTCTGCCGTTGGCAAATTGGGGTCATATGATGAAGTAGAGGGTTCCACCATCAAATATATAATGGCTCCCCTCAAAAGGCACATCGTACACTAATTATCATGGTTAGTGTGTAATGTAACTTTGTGATACACAGGACCAACCTATAATGTTTTCTAGAAGCATGACAGAGTTCTAAGGTGGCATCAATAGTAGAGCCATCCTACACTACATCAGGTTGTCCATATCTTTGTACTAAGGAGACTTCATCAGTTGTCATTATGTTACACAAATGAATTTCTTTTCTTGTTTGAAACCTTATATGAAAAGTATACTAGAACTCACACCATTTGGTGTTTGGCGACAGTTTTTGGTGAAGTCCATCTTGATATATATATATATATATCTTCCAAAGGTCCATATTGCAAATTAATAAATGAGTCTTTTATGGAAATGGAATAAATGAAATTTATCATAATAGTTTCAGAAATCAAAATCAATGGCAACTTCTGAATTTTGTGCGTACAATGTGGAAGTACACATCATCAAAATTATAGATGATGGTACTTTCCTACCCCTCAGAGTTCAAAATAAGTTAATGTAGAAACCAAAAAAGGTCCAAAGGTGAAACGATCCACGATTTCATCGAAGCAAAATCCACAGATTACATCATAATATGATAGTCCAAGAAGACCAAGCTGTCACATTATCATTATTCAGTCGATACCACGGTTCATACATCGTGGAATTACAAGTTTACAAGGTATTACCACACTTGGTAACACACCTAAGTACAACGTATACTAGCGAAGACGCACACAGAACAATATCAGAGTAGATGTAGCGCCTCAGCGGGTGAAGGCTCCTCCTTCACGGGCAATCATCAGAGTAAGCATAGAGCATCAGCGGGCGTAGACTTCATCTCCTCAACCAAACTTGAGCGTAGGAATGAGACCATCTAATCCTCCTAATCTCCACTGTCGTCGTAGATTACATCCAAAACCTACCAAAAATCTTTCAGTATATTTATACTGGCCACTGGCTCCCACCCTATGCTTTGCGTTTGCTTTGTGGTAAGTGGAATGCAAGGGTAGAGCAAAAGGCCTATTTATGGCTATAGTTTTCCTATGCAAGTTCATCAATATTTTATAATAGCTCATTAAG